CTGTGTCGTGCGTTTGCTCGCCCAGTTGGCCGGTTTGGTGTCGTCCCCCCATGTACCGGCCGCTGTGGTGTATCCCCGTATAGCGCTAGTAATTGGCCGCTCTGTGCCTCTGTTAACCCGGCGGTCGGTCCGCTGCAGGCGAGTTTGTGCCCGTGTACGGCCCGCTGCCGTCTCCCATCAGCGGCGACATCAGCACCGGAGGCCGGCCGCCCGGCTCAGTGACGGCCCGCTGCACCTGCACATGATCGGCGCCGGCGTCACGGGGCCGCCGGGTCCCGGGTGAGCCGCTCCGCCGCACAGTGTGGCCCAACACCAGTTTAGCGAGAATTAAATCCCAACGACGCACAGTGTGGCCAAACACCAGTTTAGCGCGAATTAAATCCCAACGACGCACAGTGATGCAAATGGGGTTCACGAGTGGCCATAAATACGAAAAAGGCCCAAAATTCAAGTTCACTTAATTGAATAAATCGTAATATGGTCAGTCAGGCAAATGTTTGGGGTGTCTGAAAAAGTATTATTTTAATGTTTTTGTCAAAACCGGCCTCGTGTAAGATTGTCAGAAGTCGAGACATTTTCGATGTCGCAAAATGACTGTCAGGTACTTGAAATTGAAGTGCCGCTAGCGTGCGTTCAAGTCATACAAACTGCAAAAATTATGCATGAAAATGATCCCCAAAACCTGCTGCTTCTAATGCTACGTCATAAAAAGCCGTATCTATTTTGGTTTGGCGGTGAGCTAGCTATTTGTAATCATGTTGCAACCGCAGTTTTTTACCAAAAATATTTGCTTTCAATTCACCTACAGCACTTCACACAGTGTGTGCCCGTTAGCGCACCATATCATAGCATTCCCTAATCATTTCTGAGTCGCATCGTGAAAGAATTAAGGCGCTAGAACAGGGCTGACCGGCGCTACAGAAGTTTTTGTCCGGCACGGTCGGCTGCCGCGGCGCAGCGGGCGGCCCGGGCGGCCGCGCCGCCGCGCCGCCCGGACGCCGCGCGGCGGCACTCACCCGCCCACTGCGCGCCCACTGCGGCACCCGACCGCCCGGACAAAAACCTCTGTAGCGCCGGTCAGCCCTGTGTTAGCGCCTTAATTCTTTCACGATGCGACTCAGAAATGATTAGGGAAGGCTATGGTATGGTGGACTAACGGGCACACACTGTGTTAAGTGCTGTAGGTGAAACGAAAGCATTTTTTTCTTAGTAAAAAACTGCGATTGCAACATGATGATAAATAGTCAGATTACCGCCAAAGCGAATGAGATACGGCTTTTGTGACCCAGCATTAGAAGCAGAAGGCTTTGGGGATCATTCTCATGTATAATTTTTTCAATTTGTACAAAATGAACGCAAACCAGCGGCGTTTGAACTTGCGAGTGTCTGACAGTCATTTTGCGACCTAGAAAATGTCACGACTTTTGACGATTATACACGAGCCCGGTTTTGACAAAAACATGAAAACCATGTGATTTCAGATGCCCCAAACATTTGTCTACTCGGCCATATCGCAATTAACTCGATTTGGTAAACTGGACTTTTGGGTATTTATGGCCACTCGTGAACCCCATTTGCATCACTGTGCGACGCTCGGATCCACTGAAAGTGGTTCTCTGGTTCCAAAACTGACAATTGCCCCTCGCCGGACCGATTGGTTTTCTAAACACGCGCCGGCCGAGGGGGGATACGTACTGTTGCGTACGAATATTTGTCTGCGTTATTTTGTCTAACGTACTTTATACTGTGCGTACTCTTGCATACGTACTTTTGCGTACGAACATTAGCGTATGTACTTTTGTCGTACTTTTGTCGTACGTAATTTATCGCCTACGTACTTTTGCGTACGTACTCGGTACCTTTGTCCTAGTTCCTACGTACTTTTGCGATGCGTACTAAAGTCCGCGAACCACTGAGACGTACGATACGGGGGACCATCAAAGCGTCCAAAACCGCAGCATCCAAAGTACGCAACATCCAAAACCGCAGCGTCCAAAGTACGCAACGTCCAAAATACGTCCAAAATCGGGTATATAGGGAGCATTCACAACGTCCAAAACCGAAACATCCAAAACCGCAACATCCAAAACGTATCATCCAAAAAACGCAACATCCTAGGACGCATCATCCAAAGAACGCAACATCCAAAGTACGCAACATCCAAAGTACGCAACATCCAAAACCGTTAGGTTAGGTTAGGTTAGGCTAGGTTAGGTTAGGTTAGGTTTCCTTATCCCCGGTAGGCATAAATCAGTAGGTTAGGTTAGGTTAGGTTAGGTTAGGTTGGGTTTCCTTATCCCCGGTAGGCAAAAACAGTAGGTTAGGTTAGGTTAGGTTAGGTTGGGTTAGGGATAGGCAAAAATCAGTAGGTTAGGTTAGGTTAGGTTAGGTTAGGTTAGGTTGGTTTTGGATGTTGCGTGCCTTGGATGTCGTGGTCTTGGACGTTGTGGTTTTGGAGATTACGTACTTTAGGTGTTGCGTTTTTTGGATGATACGTTTTTGGACGTTGCGTTTTTGGATGTTTCGGTTTTGGACTTTGTGAATGCCCCCTATAAACCCGATTTTGGACGTATTTTGGACGTTGCGTACTTTGGACGCTGCGGTTTTGGATGTTGCGTACTTTGGATGCTGCGGTTTTGGACGCTTTGATACGGACCCGTACGATACGAATGCCCTTCACCTAGGTGGCAGCACCGTACAGAGCCGGCAGCAAAGTACCCGGTGAGTTCTGACAAAGCGGCGGTAGGTGGCAGCACCACCTGCAGACAATGCAGTATGAAACTCGTCAGGTTCTGACGACGGGGCGGTAGGTGGCAGCACCGTATCGACTCTCAGCAGTGCCGAAACACTGCAGGTTTTGGCAGCATAAACGATAAAGTACGCTACGCATCGATAAAGTACGTAGGACAGAAGTACGTGAGCAGCGGGGGTGGATCCAGGATGTCCATGGGACGGGGGCAGTCAGTACAGGGACGGCAAATGTTCTGTTTACGGGTTAAATCTGAGAACAATATTCAAAAGCTCTGTAAAAGGGCTCTCGAATGCGCTTTTCCGCGGCGCTGTTGCTCTTTTAACCCGCGCCCCACTGGGGGGGGGGGGCTATTTATAGCCCCCCCTCCCGTTTTTCTGCAATAACTTCCAAACCGCTTGACGTATCGACGCCAAACTTTCAGCACCTTAGGCTGCATCAATTTGACACCTTGTGTCAAAATTTGAACTTCGTACCTACTATAGGTCGGCCGGAAATGACGTCAGAGTGACGTCATGTTCGGCCGATTTCGACGCAAAACATTGAACCACGGCAATCGCTCCCAAGAGCTCAGTTTTTAAGCTAGATCCAATTTCTTTGCATAAGAGGACTCAGAATAGACTGCGCTATCAAACTGCTATCTCGGATTTTCGAAATTTTGAAAATTTTGAAAATTTTAAATAATAATATCCAAAATTTATATTTTTACATTTTTTTCAAAAAGTTTTTGACTTTTCGAAAAAAACCGGAATATATGTGATAGAACGCATTATTATGACTAACTCTAGCAAGTTTTAGCTAAATATCTTCAAAAATGGCCAAGTTTTACGCATTATTGCAAAAAAATTCACAAGTATTAATGTTTCAAATCAATTTTTCAGTACGTATTTGACATCGTACGCCAATATAAATAGCACCATCGTGTTCCTGAGCTCAGACTGCATCCAATAGACACCTTTTTTGTTGAAAAATTTTAACTTCAAAATTTGACCTTTTTTGACCTGAAAATGACCTAACATAAGCTAAATTCGACTCAAAATGACCTCGAATAACACAGACGACATCAAATTCGAAATCTCTGACCTAAATGGACCATAAAACATGTGTCACGTGACCGACGCATGATATAATATTTTCGTGACCTGTGATGACCTGACCTTGACCTGAAAATCAAAGTACAAGTTTGGTACCCTCAGGGTAACTAGAGCATCTGTTCCCGAGTGTGTGATCCAAAAATGAGCCTGATCTGACTTGTAAGACGGCGGCCAGAGCCCAAAACGTGATCAAGCCAAAATGCTAATAATTTTTACTTTGACCTGACCTGTGACGTCATCGGTGACCTCGAGGTCAATGAGATTAGGTTTCGCTCGACAGTTTTTCCGGGGCTATCAGACGCCGTTTGAATTTTGACGATCGGCCCAGTAGTTTCGGAGTTAGGAGGGGGGGGGCTATGAATAGCCCCCCCCCCCCCCCCCCCAGTAGGGCGTGTTATACGCAGACCCCAGTGGGGCGCGGGTTAATTTTCGAGTTAGCTGTCGACAGTTTTCAAAAGTATTAGAATGGACTAAATTCGACATTTGATGACCTGGCTACCTGACCTTCCTATGAACCTAACCTAAATAATGACCGAAACGTTTCCGTCATTAATTTTGACGCTCATTCGATTGCCGCTTACCGCGCGTCGGCACGTGGCCCAGAGGCCGAGTTAGAGGGGGGCGTGAGCAGTAGTGGCGGAACACCTTCGATTAAGGGGGGGGGGGCACCGCCGACTTTTGGTCCCATTCTTTCCATGCAACGCCCATAGGGCTAATGTTAAAATGCCAAAATCCAGGGGGGCACGGTGCCCCGGTGCCCTCCCCGTTCCGCCGCCTATGGGCGTGAAAACGCCCCCCCCCCCCCCAGCACGACACGGAAAACGCAGGCCACCAGCACGGCGCGGGTTATCAAAAATTTAATATGATGTTCCTGCACAGAACACATCTAAAGTCCGATTCAGCTTGACACTCTGGTCTTTTATCGAGGTGTAATTATTGTGGGTGGGTAATTTATTTAGCTGCTGTTGTTGTGTGTAATTATTGTTGTGTGGGTGCGGCGGGGGGGGGGGGCTTACAGCCGCCGCGCATAGCTCCGATGTGCCGAGCCCGGATAGCTGTGCACTGTACCGTGAGCGTGCCTTTTCGCTGTATGTACTATACCTCTATTTACTGCTCCGACCTAACTTATGCTCCCTTCCTCCCCTCCCCACGCGCAGGACGATGACAAGGACTTCCACCCTGACGACTCCGAGGGCGAGCGGAGTCGAGACCCCGAGGAGTCGCCTCCCGAGGCGGGCACATTCTGCCCGCCCCGCAGCCGGCAAACAACCGACCGTTGACCGTTCCCGAGTTAGCCGTTGGCAGTTTCCAAGGTTAGACCGGGAGCGGGTTAACTGGTCGACAAAAGGAATGTGAAGTGTTTACGAAGTAATATAAAGCGTGGGTCGGGTGGGCTACTATTTCTAGGTATATATTTTTTTAATTTAGAAAATATGGTGTCAGGGCTATGACGAAAAATAAGGGGCCTAAATCCGATAAGAAAACAGGATTTTGGGGTACCCTAGGTTTGGCTCCTTGCATGAGTTGCCCCCTCTCCCCCCCAAAAAAAGAAACAATTCGCCAGTTTCCAAGTTGCAAAATGGAGACAGGAGAGGTCTGAAGGCGGAAGCTGCCCTGAGCCTGCTTATGATATGCTTACTAATGATGATAGTATGTTAACTAATGATGTATGTTTGACTTAACCTGTAACATCTTCATCTCCATTCTGCATTCCGTCTCCATTCCCGGTAATATCTCCACCCCACACGACTCCCGGTAACATCTCCACACCCACACGACTTCCGGTAACATCTCCACCCCCACACGACTCCCGGTAACATCTCAATCCCCCCCCTCTCCACAGGATGGAGCAGCACGAGAACTGCGAGGCGCAGCGCGCCGCCCTGCAGCGCCGGCTCACCTCACTGCGGGCCGCGGCCTGCAGCGCGAGCGTCAGCCAAACCGACGAGGCCGACGCGCCCGAGGTGAGGAAGCTCCCGGGAAATGTGGCCAAGGCTCCTCCACCCCGCAGACGTCGTGCCGCGGCCGCTCGTCCCGGGACAATAAGGCGCAATCACACAACTCAGTCTCACGATGGACCAAAGTCGGCCACGCAGACGCGTGAAATGACCCTTATCGACTCGCAGACCCGGCGCTCTCGGCCCGCCTGACCGGCCACGGAGGGTACGTTCGGCTATCGTTACTAAACGGACGTCACATTTGTCAGTTTAACGATTCAAGTCGGTACTGGAGTTATTCGAGATACCTGAGAAGAAGATTTATTGTTCTGTCATTTTTTTGTTTTTGTTTTGTTGGGTTAGGCCCTTTCGGTCGACAAGACCATTGCAGAGCCGGAAGGATGATAGGATTTAGGGGGAGACATTGGTCTGGGCAGGCACCCTAGTGAGTCGCCGGGGCTGAGCCCGTCCAGAGGACAGGCCACCCAGCCCCAAGGCACTCACTGCACCCGGCTACGGGGTGCGCTCCCTCGGGAGCAGCGGTGCCGCTCCAAGGGAGCAGCCCGCATGAGATAAAGTTGCCTGTCCAGCCCGGAAGGGGGTTGTGGCGTGGAGGAGAAGGATTTCAGTATCCTGAGGATAGAAGCACGGATAGGTGTTCTGTCATCTTCATTTCAGGTACTAATATGCATTTGTTTATGTCTACTTTGTTCAATTCAGCTAGATATATTATGCCCAGACAAGGAAAGTTGGCCGCCATGTGTTTCGTTTTGTATAGGATTGCAATAGTTTCAGAATTTGACCATTAACCCTATGGCGGTGCATGGTAAGAGTGGCTTTGATTCTGCGAGCGTGGCGGCACAGCATATCCACAGGCGCCTGACGCTGCTGCCACCTAGTGGAACGATTTGAACTACCCGTGTCCGGCGGCACAGCATATACACAGGCGTTTGACGCCTCTGCCATCTAGTGGCGAGGTTGAAACTACAGTCTGTGTATGGCGGTACTAGAGCACTTCACGGATAGGCTTTTTAGGATCCGGCCCGGCCCATATCCGCCAAGTCATATCCAGATCCGCCCATTATCCGCCTTTCTTTGAATATCAGAATCCGGCCCACCCATGGCCCGTATTGCAGCCAAACTTCCAAAAAATATCCGTAATAATCCGTTTCACCAATAACTGGTTTCACCCAAAACTGGACTAACAAATTCAATCTAAGGGACCAGACAGCCATACATCTCACAGACCATCATGGTTCCAAAAACCATGCTTATAAACCTAAAACCACATGAAAATCACCACATTGGTAAGCTAGGTATCATCCTTCAATAGTAATACACAATTTCTCTAAGAAGTAAGAAGATAGGGAAGTTCAGGTCATCAAATGCATGTATGGTGGTAGTTAGTGAGTTACAAGTGCCCAAAAGATATTACATAAAAATTTTGATCCGTTTTGACCCGAGGTCAAGGTCATAGGTCAAGGTCAAGGTCACTTTAAAAATCACCGTACCCTATAAAATCTTCATTTTTGGAGCTATTGTAAAATTTCGGCCACCACTGTGTTCGTCTCATCGAGAAGCAGTAGCACCTTCGAAAAAATCCGAGGTCAAGGTCATAGGTCAAGGTCAAGGTCACTTTAAACGTTAATTTTAGTCCCCGTACCCTGTAGAATCTTTGTTTATGGTCCGATTTAAAAATTTCGGCCACCACTGTGTTCGTCTCATCGAGAAGCAGTAGCACATTCGAAAAAATCCGAGGTCAAGGTCATAGGTCAATGTCAAGGTCACTTTAAACGTTAATTTTAGTCCCCGTACCCTGTAGAATCTTTGTTTACGGTCCGATTTGAAAATTTCGGCCACCACTGTGTTCGTCTCATCGAAAAGCAGTAGCACATTTGAAAAAATCCGAGATCAAGGTCATAGGTCAAGGTCAAGGTCACTTTAAACGTTAATTTTAGTCCCCGTACCCTGTAGAATCTTTGTTTATGGTCCGATTTGAAAATTTCGGCCACCACTGTGTTCGTCTCATCGAGAAGCAGTAGCACATTTGAAAAAATCTGAGGTCAAGGTCATAGGTCAAGGTCAAGGTCACTTTAAACGTTAATTTTAGTCCCCGTACCCTGTAGAATCTTTGTTTATGGTCCGATTTGAGAATTTCGGCCACCACTGTGTTTGTCTCATCGAGAAGCAGTAGCACATTTGAAAAATCCGAGGTCAAGGTCATAGGTCAAGGTCAAGGTCACTTTAAACGTTAATTTTAGTCCCCGTACCCTGTAGAATCTTTGTTTGTGGTCCGATTTAAAAATTTCGGCCACCACTGTGTTCGTCTCATCGAGAAGCAGTAGCACATTCGAAAAAATCCGAGGTCAAGGTCATAGGTCAAGGTCAAGGTCACTTTAAACGTTAATTTTAGTCCCCGTACCCTGTAGTCTTTGTTTACGGTCCGATTTGAAAATTTCGGCCACCACTGTGTTCGTCTCATCGGAAAGCAGTAGCACATTTGAAAAAATCCGAGATCAAGGTCATAGGTCAAGGTCAAGGTCACTTTAAACGTTAATTTTAGTCCCCGTACCCTGTAGAATCTTTGTTTATGGTCCGATTTGAAAATTTCGGCCACCACTGTGTTCGTCTCATCGAGAAGCAGTAGCACATTTGAAAAAAATCTGAGGTCAAGGTCATAGGTCAAGGTCAAGGTCACTTTAAACGTTAATTTTAGTCCCCGTACCCTGTAGAATCTTTGTTTATGGTCCGATTTGAGAATTTCGGCCACCACTGTGTTCGTCTCATCGAGAAGCAGTAGCACATTTGAAAAAATCCGAGGTCAAGGTCATAGGTCAAGGTCAAGGACACTTTAAACGTTAATTTTAGTCCCCGTACCCTGTAGAATCTTTGTTTATGGTCCGATTTGAAAATTTCGGCCACCACTGTGTTCGTCTCATCGAGAAGCAGTAGCACATTCGAAAAAATCCGAGGTCAAGGTCATTAGTCAAGGTCAAGGTCACTTTAAACGTTAATTTTAGTCCCCGTACCCTGTAGAATCTTTGTTTATGGTCCGATTTGAAAATTTCGGCCACCACTGTGTTCGTCTCATCGAGAAGCAGTAGCACATTCGAAAAAATCCGAGGTCAAGGTCATAGGTCAAGGTCAAGGTCACTTTAAACGTTAAAATTCGGATTCAAATTCGAGTAATGATTTCAATCAAAATTGGCATACAGATAGCCCATGGCACGCTGAGTTCGAAAATGGTGACCTTTTTTTCCTAGGTGAAACCGTTTGGCCTTGAGACGTCAAAATACTGCGTACCCTGTAGAATCTTTGTTTATGGTCCGATTTGAAAAATTCGACCACCAGTGTGTTTGTCTCATCGAGAAGCAGTAGCACATTCAAAAAATCTGAGGTCAAGGTCATAGGTCAAGGTCAAGGTCACTTTAAAAATCGCCGTACCCTATAAAATCTTCATTTTAGGAGCTATCGTAAAATTTCGGCGACCACTGTGTTCGTCTCATCGAGAAGCAGTAGCACATTCGAAAAAATCCGAGATCAAGGTCATAGGTCAAGGTAAAGGTCACTTTAAACGTTAATTTTAGTCCCCGTACCCTGTAGAATCTTTGTTTATGGTCCGATTTGAAAATTTCGGCCACCACTGTGTTCGTCTCATCGAGAAGCAGTAGCACATTTGAAAAAATCCGAGGTCAAGGTCATAGGTCAAGGTCAAGGTCACTTTAAACGTTAATTTTAGTCCCCGTACCCTGTAGAATCTTTGTTTATGGTCCGATTTGAAAATTTCGGCCAGCACTGTGTTCGTCTCATCGAGAAGCAGTAGCACATTTGAAAAAATCCGAGGTCAAGGTCATAGGTCAAGGTCAAGGTCACTTTAAACGTTAATTTTAGTCCCCGTACCCTGTAGAATCTTTGTTTATGTTCCGATTTCAAAACTTCAGCCAGCACTGTGTTCGTCTCATCGAGAAGCAGTAGCACATTCGAAAAAATCCGAGGTCAAGGTCATAGGTCAAGGTCAAGGTCACTTTAAACGTTAATTTTAGTCCCCGTACCCTGCAGAATCTTTGTTTATGGTCCGATTTGAAAATTTCGGCCACCACTGTGTTCGTCTCATCGAGAAGCAGTAGCACATTTGAAAAAATCCGAGGTCAAGGTCATAGGTCAAGGTCAAGGTCACTTTAAACGTTAATTTTAGTCCCCGTACCCTATAAAATCTTCATTTTTGGAGCTGTCGGAAAATTTCGGCAACCACTCTGTTCGTCTCATCGAGAAGCAGTAGCACATTAAAAAAAAATCCGAGGTCAAGGTCATAGGTCAAGGTCAAGGTCACTTTAAACGTTAATTTTAGTCCCCGTACCCTGTTGAATCTTTGTTTATGGTCCGATTTAAAAATTTCGGCCACCACTGTGTTCGTCGCATCGAGAAGCAGTAGCACATTCGAAAAAATCCGAGGTCAAGGTCATAGGTCAAGGTCAAGGTCACTTTAAACGTTAAAATTCGGATTCAAATTCGAGTAATGATTTCGCTCAAAATTGGCATACAGATAGCCCATGGCACGCTGAGTTCGAAAATGGTGACCTTTTTTTCCTAGGTCAAACCGTTTGACCCTCATCGAGAAGCAGTAGCACATTCAAAAAAATCCGAGGTCAAGGTCATAGGTCAAGGTCAAGATCACTTTAAAAATCGCCGTACCCTATAAAATCTTCATTTTTGGAGCTATCGGAAAATTTCGGCCACCACTGTGTTCGTCTCATCGAAAAGCAGTAGCACATTCGGAAAAATCCGAGGTTAAGGTCATAGGTCAAGGTTAAAGTCACTTTAAACGTTAATTTTAGTCCCCGTACCCTTTAAAATCTTTGTTTATGGTCCGATTTAAAAATTTCGGCCACCACTGTGTTCGTCTCATCGAGAAGCAGTAGCACATTCGAAAAAACCGAGGTCAATGTCATAGGTCAAGGTCGAGGTCACTTTAAACGTTAATTTTAGTCCCCGTACCCTGTAGAATCTTTGTTTATGGTCCGATTAAAAAATTTCGGCCACCACTGTGTTCGTCTCATCGAGAAGCAGTAGCACATTCGAAAAATCCGAGGTCAAGGTCATAGGTCAAGGTCAAGGTCGCTTTAAACGTTAATTTTAGTCCCCGTACCCTGTAGAATCTTTGTTTATGGTCCGATTTGAAAATTTCGGCCACCACTGTGTTCGTCTCATCGAGAAGCAGTAGCACATCCGAAAAAATCCGAGGTCAAGGACTAAAATTAACGTTTAAAGTGACCTTGACCTTGACCTATGACCTTGACCTCGGATTTTTTCGAATGTGCTACTGCTTCTCGATGAGACGAACACAGTGGTGGCCGAAATTTTTAAATCGGACCATAAACAAAGATTCTACAGGGTACGGGGACTAAAATTAACGTTTAAAGTGACATTGACCTTGACCTATGACCTTGACCTCGGATTATTTCGAATGTGCTACTGCTTCTCGATGAGACAAACACAGTGGTGGCCAAAATTTTTAAATCGGACCATAAACAAAGATTCTACAGGGTACGGGGACTAAAATTAACGTTTAAAGTGACCTTGACCTTGACCTATGACCTTGACCTCGGATTTTTTCGAATGTGCTACTGCTTCTCGATGAGACGAACACAGTGGTGGCCGAAATTTTCCGACAGCTCCAAAAATGAAGATTTTATAGGGTACGGGGACTAAAATTAACGTTTAAAGTGACCTTGACCTTGACCTATGACCTTGACCTCGGATTTTTTCGAATGTGCTACTGCTTCTCGATGAGACGAACACAGTGGTGGCCGAAATTTTCAAATCGGACCACAAACAAAGATTCTACAGGGTACGGGGACTAAAATTAACGTTTAAAGTGACCTTGACCTTGACCTATGACATTGACCTCGGATTTTTTCAAATGTGCTACTGCTTTTCGATGAGACGAACACATTGGTGGGCGAAATTTTCAAATCGGACCATAAACAATGATTCTACAGGGTACGGGGACTAAAATTAACGTTTAAAGTGACCTTGACCTTGACCTTTGACCTTGACCTCAGATTTTTTTGAATGTGCTACTGCTTCTCAATGAGACGAACACAGTGGTGGCCAAAATTTTCCGACAGCTACAAAAATGAAGATTTTATAGGGTACGGGGACTAAAGTTAACGTTTAAAGTGACCTTGACCTTGACCTATGACCTTGACCTCGGATTTTTTTTCAAATGTGCTACTGCTTCTCGATGAGACGAACACAGTGGTGGCCGAAATTTTCAAATCGGACCATAAACAAAGATTCTACAGGGTACGGGGACTAAAATTAACGTTTAAAGTGACCATGACCTTGACCTATGACATTGACCTCGGATTTTTTGAAATGTGCTACTGCTTCTCGATGAGACGAACACAGTGGTGGCCGAAATTTTCAAATCGGACAATAAACAAAGATTCTACAGGGTACGGGGACTAAAATTAACGTTTAAAGTGACCTTGACCTTGACCTATGACCTTGACCTCGGATTTTTTCAAATGTGCTACTGCTTCTCGATGAGACGAACACAGTGGTGGCCGAAATTTTTAAATCGGACCATAAACAAAGATTCTACAGGGTACGGGGACTAAAATTAACGTTTAAAGTGACCTTGTCCTTGACCTATGACGTTGACCTCGGATTTTTTCAAATATGCAACTGCTTCTCCATGAGACGAACACAGTGGTGGCCGAAATTTTTAAATCGGACCATAAACAAAGATTCTACAGGGTACGGGGACTAAAATTAATGTTTAAAGTGACCTTGACCTTGACCTATGACCTTGACCTCGGATTTTTTCGATTGTGCTACTGGTTCTCGATGAGACGAACACGGTAGTGACCGAAATTTTTAAATCGGACCATAAACAAAGATTCTACAGGGTACGGGGACTAAAATTAACGTTTAAAGTGACCTTGTCCTTAACCTATGACCTTGACCTCGGATTTTTTCGAATGTGCTACTGCTTCTCGATGTGACGAACACAGTGGTGGCCGAAATTTTTAAATCGGACCATAAACAAAGATTCTACAGGGTACGGGGACTAAAATTAACGTTTAAAGTGACCTTGACCTTGACCTATGACCTTGACCTCGGATTTTTTCGAATGTGCTACTGCTTCTCGATGAGACAAACACAGTGGTGGCCGAAATTTTCCGATAGCTCCAAAAATGAAGATTTTATAGGGTACGGCGATTTTTAAAGTGACCTTGACCTTGACCTATGACCTTGACCTCGGATTTTTTTGAATGTGCTACTGCTTCTCGATGAGACGAACACACTGGTGGTCGAATTTTTCAAATCGGATTATAAACAAAGATTCTACAGGGTACGCAGTATTTTGACCTCTCAAGGTCAAACAATTTGACCTAGGAAAAAAAGGTCACCATTTTCGAACTCAGCGTGCCATGGGCTATCTGTATGCCAATTTTGAGCGAAATCATTACTCGATTTTGAATCCGAATTTTAACGTTTAAAGTGACCTTGACCTTGACCTATGACCTTGACCTCGGATTTTTTCGAATGTGCTACTGCTTCTCGATGAGACGAACACAGTGGTGGCCGAAATTTTCAAATCCGACCATAAATAAAGATTCTACAGGGTACGGGGTCTAAAATTAACGTTTAAAGTGACCTTGACCTTGACCTATGACCTTGACCTCGGATTTTTTTGAAAGTGCTACTGCTTCTCGATGAGACGAACACAGTGGTGGCCGAAATTTTCCGACAGCTCCAAAAATGAAGATTTTATAGGGTACGGGGACTAAAATTAACGTTTAAAGTGACCTTGACCTTGACCTATGACCTTGACCTCGGATTTTTTCAAATGTGCTACTGCTTCTCGATGAGACGAACACAGTGGTGGCCGAAATTTTCAAATCGGACCACAAACAAAGATTCTACAGGGTACGGGGACTAAAATTAACGTTTAAAGTGACCTTGACCTTGACCTATGACATTGACTTCGGATTTTTTTCGAATGTGCTACTGCTTCTCGATGAGACGAACACAGTGGTGGCCGAAATTTTCAAATCGAACCATAAACAAAGATTCTACAGGGTACGGGGACTAAAATTAACGTTTAAAGTGACCTTGACCTTGACCTATGACCTTGACCTCGGATTTTTTCGATTGTGCTACTGCTTCTCGATGAGACGAACACAGTGGTGGCCGAAATTTTTTAATCGGACCATAAACAAAGATTCTACAGGGTACGGGGACTAAAATTAACGTTTAAAGTGACCTTGACCTTGACCTATGACCTTGACCTCGGTTTTTTTCGAATGTGCTACTGCTTCTCGATGAGACGAACACAGTGGTGGCCGAAATTTTCCGATAGCTCCAAAAATGAAGATTTTATAGGGTACGGCGATTTTTAGAATGACCTTGACCTTGACCTATGACCTTGACCTCGGATTTTTTTGAATGTGCTACTGCTTCTCGATGAGACGAACACACTGGTGGTCGAATTTTTCAAATCGGACCATAAACAAAGATTCTACAGGGTACGCAGTATTTTGACCTCCCAAGGTCAAACGGTTTGACCTAGGAAAAAAAAGGTCACCATTTTCGAACTCAGCGTGCCATGGGCTATCTGTATGCCAATTTCGAGCGAAATCATTACTCGAATTTGAATCCGAATACGAATACGACGCTAACTTTATGGACATCCCTGACGACTCCGAGGGCAAGCGGAGTCAGACCCCAAGGAGTCGGCTCCCGAGGCGGGCACATTCTGCCCGCGCCCCGCGGCCGGCAAACAACCGCCACCGTTGACCGTTCCCGAGTTAGCCGTTGGCAGTTTCCAAGGTTAGACCGGGAGCGGGTTAACTGGTCGACAAAAGGAATGTGAAGTGTTTACGAAGTAATATAAAGCGTGGGTCGGGTGGGCTACTATTTCTAGGTATATATTTTTTAATTTAAAAATATGGTGTCAGGACTATGACGAAAAATAAGGGACCTAAATCCGATAAGAAAACAGGATTTTGGGGTACCCTAGGTTTGGCTCCTTGCATGAGTTGCCCCCTCTCCCCCCCTCCCCAAAAAAAAGAAACAATCCGCCAGTTTCCAAGTTGCAAAATGGAGACAGGAGAGGTCTGAAGGCGGAAGCTGCCCTGAGCCTGCTTATGATATGCTTACTAATGATGATAGTATGTTAACTAATGATGTATGTTTGACTTAACCTGTAACATCTTCATCTCCATTCTGCATTCCGTCTCCATTCCCGGTAATATCTCCACCCCACACGACTACCGGTAACATCTCCACCCCACACGACTTCCGGTAACATCTCCACCCCCACACGACTCCCGGTAACATCTCAATCCCCCCCCCCTCTCCACAGGATGGAGCAGCACGAGAACTGCGAGGCGAAGCGCGCCGCCCTGCAGCGCCGGCTCACCTCACTGCGGGCCGCGGCCTGCAGCGCGAGCGTCAGCCAAACCGACGAGGCCGACGCGCCCGAGGTGAGGAAGCTCCCGGGAAATGTGGCCAAGGCTCCTCCACCCCGCAGACGTCGTGCCGCGGCCGCTCGTCCCGGGACAATAAGGCGCAATCACACAACTCGGTCTCACGATGGACCAAATTCAGCCACACAGACGCGTGAAATGGCCCTTATCAACTCGCAGACCCGGTGCTCTCGGCCTGTCTGACCGGCCACGGAGGGTACGTTCGGCTATCGTTACTAAACGGACGTCACATTTGTCAGTTTAACGATTCAAGTCGGTACTGGAGTTATTCGAGATACCTGAGAAGAAGATTTATTGTTCTGTCATCTTCATTTCAGGTATTAATATGCATTTGTTTATGTCTACTTTGTTCAATTCAGCTAGATATATTATGCCCAGACAAGGAAAGTTGGCCGCCATGTGTTTCGTTTTGTATAGGATTGCAATAGTTTCAGAATTTGACCATTAACCCTATGGCGGTGCATGGTAAGAGTGGCTTTGATTCTGCGAGCGTGGCGGCACAGCATATCCACAGGCGCCTGACGCTGCTGCCACCTAGTGGAACGATTTGAACTACCCAGGTCCGGCGGCACAGCATATACAGGGTGTCCGGATAGTTCTGGCGCTTTTCAACATTTTCTAAAACAAATGCCATTGGTTCATAGATACTAATCAATGGATCAAAACAATGACCAGGGACACCAAGCCACATGCTTCCGCTACGTGCTCATTCAATGTAACCATCGCCGGCGCCGACGACGGCCTCGACGTAGGGGAGGAAGCGTCTGCGGGTTTTGACGATGCGGGGCATTTCCAGGTCCTCCCATGCTGTCATGATGCGAGTCTTCAGCGACTCCAGGTTGGGGTGAGAAATGGCCTAGATCCTGTTCTACAAAACGCGTAGCACGCCTTAGTCGAGCGGGTCAGGTTAGGAGAATAAGGCGGCCTGATCTCATTTCGCCACGGTGATCTGGCCCGGCAAGCTCCTCTGTCAGTTTAGCTTGAATGGCAGCGGCGTTGTTGGAGGGTGCTCTGTGCTGTTGAAATGCGAAGTGACCCTTAGAGCATGTCGTCTTGACCCTCGGGTTGATGTGGCTGTCCAGGAACCCCTCGTGGGCCAGCCTGTTATTCATTTATTCGACATTGACGAAGATGATGGGACATTTTTGTCCATCAGACCCCCGCACTTTCTTCGATTGCCGTGCTGAAATGCTGCTCCGTTCCCATATCGCGTTCGAAACGGTCTGAGGATATTTTCTAAGGAATTCCCGAGTCGAAATGAACCTTTACCTGCTAAACCATTCATCGAAAAACGCCGCATCGCGCTGCAACTCGAGCCTCGTTCAAGTCGCACCCGGCCGCCGCGCGCAGGCATTCAGCGACAAGGCGCATCTTCGCCCATCTACCCATCACTGAAAACGATTTCAAGGTCATATTTACACGACCTCTGGCTGAGCAATCAACGAGGGGTCATGTCTGTGATGATTGGCTGAATGTCCAATAATCACAGCGCGCGTTACACGGCGTCCAAAAGAAGCGCCAGGACTTTCCGGACACCCTGTACACAGGCGTTTGACGCCTCTGCCATCTAGTGGCGAGGTTGAAACTACAGTCTGTGTATGGCGGTACAGTATTTCTTCAGGCGTTTGACGCTGCTGCCACCTAGTGACGATTTGAACTAACCGTGTCCGGTTGTACAGCATATCCACAGACGCATAGGCTTTCACAACTGTTGTGTGAAATTGGGCCTCAACTGGACTGGAGTGAGGGTAGCGCCCGGTGAGGCAAGGTAACCTTTGACCGGTCGCAAGGCCGAACAGCTGTCGCTGGTACAGTCTCTGACAGTGAAACTCCGCGAACTTTCCCTGCGCGGGCAATGAGCGCAGCTAGATGGAGCAAAACATGTGTAGGAAAATGTAAATCAAAGAATATTGTAAATCCAGCAGAACACTGAACTTTCTTCGCAGGTATCCTGAATAGCTTTGATAGCGGTATGGATCGTTAAACAAACAAATATGACACTTGTTTAGCAGCGCGAGACTCTGACGTTTCCTCCGTGGCCGGTCAGACAGGCCGAGAGCACCGGGTCTGCGAGTTGATAAGGGCCATTTCACGCGTCTGTGTGGCTGAATTTGGTCCATCGCGAGACTGAGTTGTGTGATTGCGCCTTATTGTTGGCTGTGGGAGAAAATATGCCTATGATTTCAAGAAATCCTGGGACAGCCCGTCAAATAAAGAAATAACGTTTACACAAACGTAATTTTTAAAAGAGGCCATCGATCGATTTTGATAAAAAAAAATTACATATCTGGAATCAGCTCGCCGTCGGGTTTCGAATGGTATCTGCCGTTTCTTTTGAGCCTGACATGACCTTCCGACGAACCATGCGGGAGCGGCTCGTCCGCCGGCGGCGGCCCGTCTCGGAGGGCGCGCCCACCACCACGTGCTCCGAGGGGGACGTGTTCACGGAGAGTGATGGTGGACCAGGTGAGGACCGCAACGGCCGGCCGCGCTCCTCGGGATACCAGTAGACACGCGCCACATGGTGCGGCTCTGTGGACTGCAGCAGCTGCTTCTGAATGTCCGGAATGCTGATGGCTGAGTGACATGGTTAGATGACATGGCCCATGTTGACTATGTTACCCCTGCACCGGGATGGTTGTCCGGTGTCTTGACACCCCCCCCCCCCGTCTGGCAGGTGCCGCCCCCGGCCGAGTCGGACCCCGGCCGGCGCCGGCTGAGCTCTGCAGACCCGGAGCCGGCAGGAGCGCACCACCAGTTCCCGCCTCGGGATCAGCCGCCGCCCGACGACTGGGCCTGCAGACAGGGTATTCGGTCACTGGGGGATAGCATAGCGACTAAAGGGGCAGTGAAAGACGGTCTTGGCTAGATCATTGACACCTGTCACCCATGCCTAGAATTGATGTTCGACCGTTTGTACTATAAACCTTTGAAACCTGGGCGCCCTACTGAATTAATTTAGAAAAGGCTGTCAGCCCTTGCCTTGAGCTAGCCTCCACGCAGACGCTCACTTTTATGGCCATGCCCTCTATGTACATATCCTGTCGTGCACCTGTGTCGCGTGTCTGCTTCGCCGGTTTGGTGTCGTCCCCCCCCCCCCCCCCCCCACCATGTCCCGCCCGCTGTGGTGTATCTCCGTATAGCGCCAGTAATTGACCGCTCTGTGCCTCTGTTAACCAGGCGATCGGTCCGCTGCAGGCGAATTTGTGCTCGTGTACGACCCGCTGCCGTCTCCCATCAGCGGCGACATCAGCACCGGAGGCCGGGCGCCCGGCTCAGTGACGGCCCGCTGCACCTGCACATGATCGGTGCCGGCGTCACGGGGCCGCCGCCGGGTCCCGGGTGAGCCGCTCCGCCGCACAGTGTGGCCCAACACCAGTTTAGCGAGAATTAAATCCCAGCGACGCTCGGATCCACTGAAAGTGGTTCTCTGGTTCCAAAACTGACAATTGCCCCTCGCCGGACCGATTGGTTTTCTAAACACGCGCCGGCCGAGGGGGGATACGTACTGTTGCGTACGAATATTTGTCTGCGTTATTTTGTCTAACGTACTTTATACTGTGCGTACTCTTGCATACGTACTTTTGCGTACGAACATTAGCGTATGTACTTTTGTCGTACTTTTGTCGTACGTAATTTATCGCCTACGTACTTTTGCGTACGTACTCGGTACCTTTGTCCTAGTTCCTACGTACTTTTGCGATGCGTACTAAAGTCCGCGAACCACTGAGACGTACGATACGAATGCCCTTCACCTAGGTGGCAGCACCGTACAGAGCCGGCAGCAAAGTACCCGGTGAGTTCTGACAAAGCGGCGGTAGGTGGCAGCACCACCTGCAGACAATGCAGTATGAAACTCGTCAGGTTCTGACGACGGGGCGGTAGGTGGCAGCACTGTATCGACTCTCAGCAGAGTGTGAGTGAAAATGAGGTTTTAAGGCGTCCCTGTCAGGGTTGGCAGGGGGTGGCAAAAACTGGTTTTTGCCAGTGGTTTTAACCGGTTTAAACCGGCTGGCAGAAACCATGGTGGCAAAAACTGGCAGAAACTGGCAAAAACTCAAGTGGCCAAAACTGTGTTGCTTACCTAAAAAGCAATCGATTGAAATGTACAAAGTCATGTCTGTCATTGGGGCCCAATAAGCATTGTCTCGCTAGTTTACCGCTGCTTAAAATGTCTGCCGGTAGTCATTAGATGTCCACCAGGAAGTGCACTTTCATGCATCGCTGTTGGTGTGCTTCTGCACATGAGCATATGCAGGAGTCGTTTCCGACCAGATCTCGAGAATGGCTGGGTCGATTGCGCTCAAATTGGGACACCGTTAGGGACTGATTAGTAGGGTGTCGTGCATAGTCGGTCGGGGTCCATTTTGCACGTGCGCACGTGCGGGGTGACGCTTCCAGATCGGGAGAATGGCTACGTCGACTAAGCACAAATTTGGCACTGACACTGTTAGGAACCGGTTCGTAGGGTCCGGTGCACAAGTCAGCTGTGGCAGATGCCCTTTCCCACTTCTTCAATACTCGCCGCCCGCCGGCGCACTTTCTCATTTGTCTCACCAAAAAGGCGCCTTATTGGTTAATTATAGAGGACTCACGGAACTATTTAACACTAAAATGGTCAAGATACCACTTCTGTTTGAAAGTATATTGTATTCACTGAATCCTCCTTAAAACGTGTCCTGCTCAAACGCATGTAGAGGCATAGCGTTTTGACTGTTTTTAGTTTTTGCCAGTTTTTGCCACTTTATGCCGGTTAAAACCGGTTTAAAACCGGCAAATGGCAAAAACTAGTTTTTGCCGGCAAAAATGCCAACCCTGGTCCCTGTCCATTGGACATTCGGCCGCCTGTAAAGAATCTGTTTGCTACGAAAATATCGAATTGCTAGAATTTTGATATTGCAAGTGCTCATTTACTTTAATTAAGTGTGTGTGAGTTCTAAAATTTTTACCTTTAAAGTGCTCGGTAACGCGTTGTGGCTTTCTTGGGAGGTGAGTGGGATCCTGGGACTTACTTTACCTACTGTTAGAATTAGTTTTACGTTATAGTTACTTTAAAGGGTTGTTAAGATATCACTTTGTCCTCCATCAAGACAATAAATTCGATTTGGGATTAATTTTGCCATGGTGCCGGCACATGGCCTACTCTTCACGAACTACACCATGGGTTCTTTATCGTGCGGGTTAGGAGGCAATCCCCACACCCCCTCTCACGCCGGGTGTCGCGTTCACCCTACAATGCCGGGTGGTGCATAGGCCTAAATAATTATTGTCTGAAGGACAAAACTGCATGGCCATTTAACAACTTTGAAGAGGTGAAGACCAGTTGGCCTCTCTTAATTTTGAATCTCTCCTGTCTGCGCGTGACTGGCACCAAGCTTGGACCAGCGCATGGCTGAGTGGTGTGGTGAATGTCGGCCGGCGTAACTGGCACCAAGCTTGGACTAGCGCCCGGCTGAGTGGTGTAGTGAATATCAGCCGGCGTATCTAGCACCAAGCTTGGACCAGCGCACGGTTGAGTGGTGTACTGGGTGTCAGCCGGCGTAACTGGCACCAAGCTTGGACCAGCGCACGGCGGAGCCAGGAGAATTCTCGAGTGTGATTACCGCTAAGTCAACTGTTGGGATGTTGGGCACGGCACTTAACTGTTCGTTTATGTGTGCTTTAGAGTGCTCCTGTTAGCTTAGTGTCTTGTAAATATCTGAAGAGAAGTGCTAATAGCTCTGGGTGTCTGTCACCTAAAAGCTGATCTAAGCTCAACGTTACGTTCTCCTGCCGACAGAAGGCAATAATGTGTTGTCGGTGGAGGTTGAAGTGAGAGCACTCTATGTATGTATGTATGTATTGATCTAAAATCCATCCACATAACATGGTTTTTCAGGATTCAGCGTCATGCACAATACAGTAAAATGCAAGAAGGCAATAGGCACTGGCAGATAAAATAAGACAACTAATTGCACTAAAACCGGAATAAAACACAGCACCCCAAGACCTCAGGCTTCGCTGGCCGCCACTGCGCGGCGAAACGCGGTCAGCGTGGGCTGCTCCCTGACGGCCGGCGGCAGCCGGTTCCACGCGGCAGCAGCGCGGTAACTAAACGTTCTCTGTGTGGAAGAGAGCCTACACTTCTGCAGCTCCAGGGCGCCAGCTTCTACAGAGCGTGTGACCCGGCCAGACACCTCAGAGCGGGACACAAACATGCGGCGGATGGAGAGAGGGTAAGCTGGTATGTGGAGCGCCTTCCACACCTTCAGTAGGTCCCTCTCCCACACCAGCCGCTCCACTCTGGGCCAGCCCAGGGATGCCAGAGCCGGCCCGATCCTCTCCCGACGCCGCACGCCTGTCACGATCCGAGCACTGAAGTTGATGAGTTTTTGGATCCGAGTGAGTTGATTTTTTGTGGTTCCGCCCCACACCGAAATGCAGTACAGAATGTGAGGGAACACGTGGGTCTCAATGAGTAACTTTAGCGTTTCCTGGTCAAAATGGTGGCGGAACTTGGAGAGGGATATGAGGAGGGCATTGCACCTCCTGACGATGTGACTGATGTTGGCGTCCCAGGCCAAACACGAGT